GCCGAGAAATTATTAAATTGTTTTGATGTATTGATATTTGATGAACTAATTCAATTCAGACTCTTCGATTAAAAAAATGATCCTCAAAAAAGTATTAATATATTATAAAAAAAATTTAACAACAATCTGAATTGAATTGGACTACCAAATGTCAAAGGGACCAAAACCATATAATAATTTCTCACTTTTCAAATTCGGACTTCAAAATAGGAACCCTACTATTTTTTTTCTCCCAGTCCAGAAATGTTGCAAGTTTTAAGAACATGGAGTGTAACACTTTTTTTGAAGGTAAACGACTTTATTCTTTACAGTTTTAGAAGTGACTCTACTAGAAAGACTGAGGCGATATATGTATGTATATATATATATATATGTATGTATATGTGACTGGACTTGAAGTAATTGAGAGGCTAAAGGAGGAGGGGGTCCATAGATCATTTATGGAATAATTTAAGGCAAAGTTTGACCAAAAGCAAATGATGAATAAAAATTGAGTCAGAGTACTCGAACAAGTAGTTTTCGTTGATCAGTTAGTGCTGGGCTCAACCAAAGACCTTTTCTTCCTTCACTCTGACACACAGTACATACACATAGTTGGCAATTATTATAAGCAGCATTCTTTTAGACTTAAGACTAGTTCCCTCTGTAACCATGCTGCTTTACAATTTTGTGGTCCTAATTTTGCAAGGTCTGATTCTGTGTGCACTTCACATTGAACCAACGACCAATAAGTCTAGGATCACGAGCCTATCGAACCTCAAAGCTAGTTGTTTCGAGGAGATGTGCTAAGCATGGTCGCGTATATAATTAATGAATTTTTAATGTGTTACAATCGTAATTGTACTATACTCGAGCATGTTATACACATTATATTTAAACGATGCAAATTCGAACTAACTAATAAATATATTTTCGTAGAATTCACTTAATAGTCACATTGCCTAGTCGGTTCTGTATTTCAATTGTCAGCTCTCAATAGTCTGATGAGGTTCACTGCAGCATGCACAACATCAATGATTTTGAGATCCCAAGTATTCTTATTTTTCAGCTGATTAACGTTAATAATTTACTAGTTTAATTAGTTCGTATTTTTCAAAATATGGAAAGGACATTGCTAAACTAAGTGAACAAAGGACAATAACAAATGTGTGTGACAAGACTGCGATATACTTTTTATGTCAGAAATGCTCAATAGATGCTATATTTTTCAGTTTAAATGTTACCATATATAATTATATATACTGTATTGGTTTGTTCTTTTCCATTACCAGAAACACTATGATTGTGTATAAGCATGCACCTACAATCAAGTACAAGTTGAATCATTCACTTGAGATGGACAGTTCTTTACATATTCAAGGTATATATATATATATATATATATATGTATGTATGTATTAGCAATTTACCAAAGTAATATACAACTACGAAAACAAACTTTGTTCCAACGTTTTATAACACATTGTTTTTACATTATTGCATGAATATTAAGCTCAACTTCTATGCTAATCTTAGCCAGAAGGCTGAGAAAGATATAATACATGAATTCAAAGAGCATCAAACCCTCGATTCATCATCAATCATAATCATCATCACACCATGATTAATTCGAAATTAATGCAGATTGGCAGTTTTCCGTTCACGCTCGACGACAATGGAAATCAGCCACCTCAGTACTATAGAATCCATCATAACATACTAAATTTAATTAAATTGAAATAGGCATCATATAAAGTATGGTCAGCAGTGGAAAGCGTGCAGCATGTGAAATCATATTCTTAAATCGTGATTATTAGATCTTAATTAATTTTACCAACCGATAGATAGATAGATAGATACATACATATATATATATATATTAATGTACGTACTACATGTTATGTTATATATATACTGGCAATTTGAGCTTTCACATGCACGAGCATGGGCTTCATTCTATGCTAAGCGATGCTAATACATACTTTACTTAGGTGCCAGATGTTTTCTTAATGAAATAAAATAAGGATTATGTAATTTAATTAAGGATTAGATGGTTCAAAAGTGAATCAACTATGCAAACTTTTAACAAAAATAATACCAGCCTATATGCAGGCCTAATTCTCTTTAAATTAGGGTTTAGTTTCTGGACCACATTGCGTGTCTGCGCCCATAATTATTGTGACACCACATAGGGATTTGGGGCTTAATCATGCTCTCATTACATGCAAATGTGGTGCAAAGATTCATTGGTATTATCAAAGGCGAATATATCATATACATACATATATATGTGTGTGTGTGTGTGTGTGACTTTTGTTATTCCATGTTAATGCATGCGTCCAACTTAATAATGGGATGGTGAAATTAATATGTGGAAATTGGTGTGCCCTTTGGTAAAACACACAAATTAAGTCCATTGTCCACACTTTTTTGGCCAAGGAAATGCTAAAACATACTTATGATTGAAGTGATTGCATGTGAATTTTGTCATTGTGTTGTTAGCAGATCAATTTTTTTTTTTTTTCGGTTAAAATTGTAAGCAGGTCACTTGCAAACCTGTTTAGGCATGTTAAGGATGGAACTTGATTTAAATATATTCCGAGAACTTGAAAATGAATTAGAATTTTTAATATGATAATTGATCAAATTAATAAAATCAAATTTAGATTATGATAATATTATTCACATGGTGGTATATCATGTTTGGTATTATAATTCTTAATTATTTAATATCTCTTCAACTCTCTCTCTCTCTCTCTCTCTCTCTCTCTCTCTCTCTCTCTCTCTCTCCTTGGGTAATGCAAGTAAATTTGAAATAAAATGAAAAACCGTACAAGGGGGAGATGGAAAAAAAAAAAGGAAAATTACATATAAATGAAGTTAAAGTTTCATATTTACTTAGAGGCTGAGTTAAAGTTCCATATTTCTCTAAAATGGATTGCTGAGGTGGCACATGGTTTTTTACTGTTTAGAAATTGTGATGCCTAAAATACCCTTCCGCGAAGGTACTACTTTTTCTTCGAAGGTACTACTTTTTTGAACTGAAGATACTACTTTTTGGCGTCCAGGTACCATGTTTTTTAAACACTCGCGAAGGTACTACTTTTTCTCCGAAGGTACTACTTTTTTGAACTGAAGGTATTACTTTTTTATTAGGGAAGGGCATTTTAGGCACCACAATTTTTTAAACAGTAAAAAACCATGTGCGACCTCATCAATCCATTTTAGAGAAATATGGAACTTTGACTCAGTCTCTAAGTAAATATAAAACTTTGACTCCATTTATATATAATTTTTCTAAAAAAAAATTGGGCCAGAACCGGGCCTAAAAAGGCCTAAACCCTAAGAAATCCAAAAGTTAGCTAAAAAACAGAAAAATATTCACAGCTACCAAAAGTATCACCATAGAAGCCCATGGTTCGGGACTATACGATCTCACTCAATCACATGCGATCTTATAAGTAAAAAGTTACAAAAAAAAAAAAAAAAAAAAAAACTTATGTGATCCGAATCATATAGTTGGGGGCTATAGAATAATCTTCCATACACTTGGTGGAAAATATTCAGAACATTAGGGTCAAAAATGGAATTAAGCTAGGGAGCCCCATATAGTTATCTTGAGCATGATCACATTTGGTAGGTTCGTCTCACAAACATAGGTCTATTTCTAATTGAGTGACTGATTTATTGGATTAGTATGCTAGAAGATGAGCTAAAGCTAGGTATCAAAAAAAAATATATATCTAGCATCCAATTTTAAGCGTCATAATTGCAATCAATTGAATGTGAATTAAAGTTTTTTTAAAAATTTGTCTATCAAAATTTGTTCATCTATACACAGAATACATATATTCACGCATTTGTTTGCTTTTGACTCAATGAATGCTTGAATATGACTGATTCTATTGAGAAATTTTCTTTTCATTTGTTAGGATGGGTGTTTTTGAAATTATTAAGGGTTTTATTACCATTTTGATGTGGGATTTTTTTCTCCATACAAAACTCTCAATTGTTGATAGAAATTATATTTTTTTCTCTTTTCAATAGTAATGGAATACTTTGTAAATTAACAAATTATTATTCAAGAGTGTAAATGCATATATTTCTTTTTATTGACATATTTATTATCATTCATATTTGGAGTATGTTACTTTTACTTGAAAATTGTTAAATTACAACAAAGGACCTCCCACTTATTTATATGCATCATACATGCCCTCTAAAACTCTCAACATAAATGTCCTACGTATCTACATTCTACACAACTCTTCCACTCCAATATTTTAGAATTTTTTCTATCTCTACCACACTCGATAGTGGATAACCTCCACAAAATTTTTGGAAGAGTCTAGAATTTCATTCTATTCATGTCATTATATTTATTACTGACATATATTAAAATTGCTACAAAAACAACTAATCGAACATTGTAACAGAAATATTAACAATTTAGTTGTACATACAGGTGAGATATAGATGCATATAATTTCTGTAAAACTCTTCCCTCCAATTAAGTCTAAATTTTCAAACAATTCAATGAACTTGTGCATAGTTGCCAATGACATCTACATCTAAAATTTTCAAACAATTCAGTAATGTTTAAATTGCTTGGCTTTCTTGGTTGGTTATCCTATTTCTTACTTCTTATATTAATACAAAGGAGCTCTGATAAATGTGAATACATAATTCTATTAATATATGATATATAGAATTTTCTTATCAAAAATGAATTTTTAGGAATGCCAACTTTAATTAGTAGGTTCAATTCAACAATCAAAATTAAAATATACTTATTATTCAAACTTCTAATTATAGAATCACACCTATTTGTACCTTCTACTTATGGTAAATGAGTACATTACATCCTTTTGTACCTTATAATTGTAGAGAAATTATTCATTGTAACCGTTGTAACGATTCTGTGGTATAAGGATATAAAAACTTCAAAATAATCTTAAAATAAAATAAAAAAATTGATATATGTGCTTTGATAAAATATTTATAGTCATTGGTTACAACTATTGTAATGAATAATTTTTCTTAGTTATAAGTTTTAATTTGGTATTTTACATGAACTAGGAAGAAATGTGATTATTTATGGTACTCTATTTTCAAATAATTAAACATATCTAAAAGACACGTTGACGGGTCTCGCAGCAATTGAACACTAAAAAAAACCATCGCCCAAAGTCAATATTACAAGGGTTTGACTTCTTTCCTAGAGAGAGAAAAAGTGATATCTTGACCAGATCAGCAGCAACTCGTTGGACAAAAAGACGCGGATTGTGGATCCACCTAATTGGGCTGTTGAATTGGGTTTTTCAGCACCATCACATTGGACTTGTATCATTCCATCTCAGTAAAAAGTGGGAAATTGTTTCAGTGAGGCCTAGTCATGGGTGAGCGTTGATGGGCCCGAACTCCGGCTCCAGCCCCAGCCCCAGCCCCGGTGCCACCATGGTGGTGTTGAAGCGGAGACCGGTGGTGATCGTGATGTCGGTAATTCACGGGCTGTTCACGTCGTTGGGCCGAAGGATGTCTAGCATTGGACTTGGAGTCTTTTGGTTTCATCTTGATGGCATTGATCTCCTCCAAACTCTGTAGAACTTCTTCCATGGAGGGCCGGTTCTTTGGGTCTGATTCGAGACAATTTAGAATAAGTTCAGCTGCTTGGATTGCGGCTTTCGGAGGGTACTGGTTCTCCAAATTTGGGTCCATTATTCTCCTAACCCTCTTTTTATCAACTAGGAAAGGCCTGGTCCACTCCACCAAATTGTGCCGCCCATTGGGCCGATCAAGATCCAGCACCCGTTCTCCTGTTATAATTTCGAGAAGCACCACTCCAAAACCGTACACATCACTCTTCACGTATAAATGACCTGACAAATTCAAGGGCCTAATTAAGTATTGCCATATTCAATTCAGCTTTATAATGAGGCATAAAGAAGCCCAAAATAACGAGAAAGTATTGAGGATCATATTTCGGAATATTTAATACTTTCTCATATTTAATACTTTTTCCAAAATAACCATGTACCATTTATTAAAATAGTATCAAAGCCTTTCTAGGCATTTTAAATCGAAAACATGCTACACTTTGAAGGTGCAACGACAATGTAAATGTTCATGCAACACATTTACTTACTTTAATGATTCAAAATGGCAACCCCATTAAATCAAGAATTGCAACAACTTTACATAATTGTTGCGCCATTGGTTTAATAGTGTTGCATTCTCGATTTGTTATTGTTGTGTATTGTTGCATCCTTGATTTAATTACATCGAAAATTATGGTATTATTAATATATAGACCATATAAACATGTAGTCAAGTGTTATTATATAATATATATAGAGATTTTAGAGTGTGTGTAAGTATTACCGGTGGCTATGTACTCGGGAGCCGCATAACCATAAGTGCCCACAATTCCCGTTGTTACGTGAGAGTCGCCATTTGATGGACCTAACTTTGCTAGCCCAAAATCCGAAAGCTTTGCGTTGAAATCCTATATATAAAATTGAAAATCATTTAACAAAATTAATTAGTACGAACTAACTATATATACACACAGATATTGTATATATAACCCTCATACAAACGACGACTCCAATCTGATGTCAAAGAGTCGTAGTGTTGAGAGTTTATACGAAAGACATTGCAATCGGGTATCTCACATAGTGTGAAAGATTCCCATCATAGCAAGTGGGCCCCCACTAGCTAGGTGAGACACCCGCAAAGTTTTGAATTTTCTAATTATACAAAAAAAAAAAAAAAAAAAAAAAAAAAAACAACAAACAAACAAACAGGTTGATTTAATTTACCCAATCCAGCAATATGTTAGATGCCTTGAAGTCTCGATATATGACGCACTTCTCAGTTGTGTGCAAAAAATCAAGTCCTTTCGCTGCTCCTATGGCTATCTTAAGCCTTGTTTCCCATGTAAGAGGTTCTGCAGCCTCTGCACATATTCATGCACAATAAAATAATAATTAATTAATGCTACCTTTCACTTTTATTTAATTTCTTTTATAAAAAAAAAAAATTAAAACAATCTGTAATTAAATGTTAATTTCTCCCTCCGTCCTACAATAAGTTGCGAGTTACGATTCTTAATACGTGACACTTATTATTAGAACGAAAGGAGTATCCATATTAGAAAACATTCATACTTTTAAAAAGGTGGCTCTCTAAGCTCCCCCTCTGCATGTATTCGTAGACGAGGAGGAATTCTCTGTCTTCCCAACAGTACCCCAACAGCCTAACAAGATTGGGATGGCTAAATTTTCCCAAGAATTTCACTTCCGCCTGCATTAAAAATATACATATATGCATAAATAAGTATATTTAATCAATTATAATTAAATATAATCAAAAGGGATCAAGACTACGTATATATTGCTTTTAAATGTGACATATAATGGGTTGGATAACTTGGATGGACTACCACAAGATTAAAGTCCGAATAATAACAAAATTAACATTGGCGAGTGAAACAATATTTAATAAAGTTAAGAAAAGAAAAGTAGTGGATGCTTCTGCACTTACAGAATAAGTCTTCCATGTGATAATTAATTCAATATATACATACATATATATAAATATATATATATATATAATATTTAATTGAGGAATTGAAAAGATATTATAAACGCCGGTCAAAGCGCTGGAACAAATTATTCTTGTGTTCATACTAGTAAACTCATAAAGTAAAAGGGCTTTCACACATACATACATAGATATATATATATATATATATATATATATATATATGGAGTACTGTTTGACTTTTCAAAACCAATGGACTAAGTTGATTCATTCTCACTTCCCAGAAACATATATGGCCGGCACCAATAAATAGACATTGAATTACACAAACAAAAAATTATGTATTTAATTTGTTACAACATTATTTGATACAAGTAAAAATAGCTCTAAACCTTGCTCTCTCGTCTTAATACGAATGTATCTATATAAGCGAGTTGAGTGTTTGAACCCTACTTAACATTGTTTAAACGTAGGTTTTCTGAATGTATCTATATAAGCAAATTGAGTGTTCAAATCGTAGTAGAAGTAATATTGTAATGCGTATATATATCTGTTTGAACTTTCAAAAAAATATATATATGTATTATAACTTCTTAGTTAAATGATTGTTGAAGCCATTTTCATGTTAGGATATATAAATGTGAGAAAATGGTGTGAATGGTCTCTTTGGAGGAATCCATATTAGTCCACATGTATGCATATATGTATACATATATACATATAACTGTGCCCTATATAGTGAATAATTGATGAGAAAACATTATAGTAGTGAACATAGTAAAGAATCTAAAGATATTATATTAATCAAACCTAATATTGTAACTTCTTAAACTAATTTAACAATGAATGCTAGTAGAACTAACCTGCCACTCTTTGAGGCCTTGCTCGCTGTCTGGACTGGACTTTTTGACGGCGACGGCGATTCCGACTCCGACTTTGGACGGTGCATAGGTTTTGTGGTCGATCCAGCCTTTGAAAACCCTTCCAAAGCCTCCCTCCCCCAGCACCGTGTCCGGTCTAAAATTCCTAGTTGCGCTCTTGAGTTCGGCGAACCGGAACATTTTCAAGTTGGGTGTCATGATTTGGCCACTGGCAGGCACCTCCTGGACCGCAGAACTTTTACTTCCGGCAGACGTCGTCGTGGACACACTTCCGTTTGTGCTTCGGGCAGACACCATGGACAAGCTGGTTTCGCCGCTGTGAGTGTTGGGTTTTGTCCTCTTTGACTTGTCTCCATTAGTAGTTGCTGAAACACAAAAAGTAAACAAAGAGTTGTTAGACAAGTCCTAAATATGATCAATATATATATATATATATATATATATATATATATATATATATAGATATGAAATGATTGAAAAAACTGATTTTTGGATATGGGAAACTGATTAGATGCATGGGTTTGTGTGGGTATATAGACGTACATGGGCTTGAATCTTTGGAGGTGTCTGGGCTAGAACTATGATCTACCGGTGGAGTTGGCCAGCAGTTCCCCATCTTTAGTTCTCACTCTCTCTCTCTCTAGATTTTCTCTCTCTAGCTCTCTATATGTGTTTATGTTGTTGGGTAGGTCTATATTTAGATGGAGATATTGGCGTGGCTGGTTCCAGGAAGGAGAGAAGAAGGACCAGAGGAAAGAGGTGAGCAAGTGCAGATGATAAATAGTAGGGCTTGATTGGCTTCTCTCTTTTTCTTTCTTGGACTTTTTCTTTCTTGTAAATGCTCTCTCTCTCTCTCTCTCTAAAAGGTCTCGGGCATTGACTATTACTATCATGCCTTCAATACTGACAACCCCTTTTTAATTTAAATTCCTAGTAATACAAAAAGAAAGAAAGAAATATATTGAGAAATATGAAAGAATTTTTATAAATAAATAGAGGGTAAAGTATAATGACATTCCCAAAGTTTGATATAAGGACAAGTAGACATAAGTTGATTTATTTTTGAACAATAGCACCCCTTATCAAAAATTAAATCTAGACAACCCCTTAAAAATTATAAAAAGTCAATACTATCCTTTAATGTTTTATTAATTTAAATTATAAAATATTAAAACTCTTAAATGAGGCTTTTACTCTTATACACTCATTACACCTTTATATATATATATATATATATATATATATATATATATATATATATATATATCTAGGTGGTGAATGTTGTGGCCGGCCAGATCTTTGGAGCCGGTCTGGGTGTATGATGGTTTGAGATAAAAATTGGATTTCTCATATGGGTACGTTGTACCCCTAACCCATTTAACCTTATTTGATCTAAGGATATTTAATAAATATATTTTTTTATAAATAGATAATTAAATACTGAAACTCTTTGCACATTTAATAGTCGTAAAGATAAAATCTTTTTTATATTAATTAATAATTATTTTCTTATATAATTAAATAAATACTGAAACACTTTGGTAGAACTTCTGTATTTTACACTGAAATTTAGATATTCTTTTATTAAAAAATTATAATTTGTAATACGTGTTAGAGTATTATAAAAAATATTTTTAAACTCTTTTTATATGAATTAATAAATATTTTTATATTTTAATAATTCCTATCTAAATATATTAGCTTTTATTAAAAAAAAAAAACTCATAATAAAAGGTAATTTGTGGTAGAATTTTAGAAAAATTATTTTATTTGTTATATCAAGTAAAAATATTTTTTATATTAATAATTCTTGTCTACTTAGATTTTCTTTTATTAAAAAAATTATAATAAATAAATAGGTAATTTGTGTTAGAGTTTAATATAAACTCTTTTAAAAACTCTATTTATATCAATTAATAAATATTTTTTATTTTAATAATTATTGTCTCATTACTTTTAGTTTCGTTAAAAAACTAATAGTAAATAGATAAATAGGTAATTTGTGTTAGAGTTTTTTAAAAACTCTTTTAAAACCTCTTTTTGTATTAGTTAATAAATAATTTTTTATATTAATAATACTTGTTTAATTAGGTTTCTTTTTTTTTTAAAAAAACTCATAATAAATAGATAAACAGGTAATTTGTGTTAGAGTTTTATTGAAACTCTGTTGATAGAGTTTTATGGAAAATAAAATAAGTAATTTGTAATATAGTTTTATAGAAATTATTTTATTTTCTTTAAATATATACTCATCTAATTAGATTTAATTTTATTAAGAAACTCATACTAGAGTTATATAAAAATTATTTTCCTTTATATATCAATTAATAAATATTTTTTATATTAATAATTCTTATCCAATTAGATTTATTTTATTAATAAATTGATAAATAGGTAAATTTAAATTTTATTATGTAGATTTTAGTGTTTTATCATATTATTTAATAAATATTTTTTTACATAAATAAATAAATACTAAAACTCTTTACACATCTAATAATAGTATTGATAAAAACACTTTTTATATCAATTAATAAATATTTTTTTATATAAATAAATAAATATTGAAATAGTCAAACTCTTTATAAAAAATTTCAGGTGGTGAATTTTTCAGTTTTTTGTGTTAATATTTTTTTATAAGTTATAAAATATATATATATATATATATATTTTAAAATAAATATTATTTTATATAAATAAATAAATACTTAAACACCTTGGCAGAGCTTCTGTATTTTACTCTGAAAATTAGATTTTCTTTTATTAAAAAATTCATAATAATAAATAGGTTAATTTGAATTTTATTAGGTAAATTTTAGAGTTTTATAGAAGTTCTTTTTTTCTATAAAAACTCTTTTCATATTAATTAATAAATATTTTTATATATAAATTAATAAATATTGAAATACTGAAACTCTTTCCACATTAAATAAATATTTTTTAAATAAATAAATAAATACTGAAACTTTAGATTTAATTTTATTAAAAAATTCATTACAATAAATAGATAAATAAGTTAATTTGATTTTTCTTAGATAGATTTTAGAGTTTTATAGAGTTTTTTTTCTTTTATTTTTTTATTTAAAAAAAAAACTCTTTTCGTATCAATTAATAAATATTTTTTTATATAAATAAATAAATACTGAAATTCTGAAACTCTTTGCACATTTAATATTTTATTTTTTTTTAAATATATCATTGTCTAATTAAATTTAATTTTATTAAGAAACTCATAATAAAAGTTAATTTGTGATAAAGTTTTAGAAAAATAATTTTATTTTATATATGAATTAATACATGTTTTTTATAATAATAATTCTTGTCTAATTCAATTTTCATTTATTAAAAAATTCATACTAATAAATAGATAAATAGGTTAATTTAAATTTCATTAGATAGATTTTGGAGTTTGATAGAAGTTTTATTTTTTCTTTTTTTTTTTTTTAAAAAAAAAAACACTTTTCATATCAATTAATAAATATATTTTTATATAAATAGATTTTTAAATACTGAAACTCTTTGCACATTTAATAGTAGTATAGATAAAACTTTTTTATATCAATTAATAAATATTTTTTTTATATAATTAAATAAATACTGAAACAGTTTGGTAAAGCTTCTTTATTTTATTTTGAAAATTAGATTTTCTTTTATTAAAAAATTGTAATATGTAATACGTGTTAAAATATTATAGAAAATATTTTTAAACTCTTTTTATATGAATTAATAAGTATTTTTATATTTTAATAATTCCTATCTAATTAGATTAGCTTTTATTAAAAAAAAAAAACTCATAATAAAAGGTAATTTGTGATAAAATTTTAGAAAAATTATTTTATTTTTTATATCAATTAAAAATATTTTTTATATTAATAATTCTTGTCTACTTAGATTTTTTTTTTTTTTTTAAACTTATAATAAATAAATAGGTAATTTGTGTTAGAGTTTAATATAAACTCTTTTAAAACTCTTATTATATCAATTAATAAATATTTCTTATTTTAATAATTATTGTCTAATTAGATTTAGTGTCATTAAAAAAACTCATAATAAATAGATAAATAGGTAATTTTTGATAGAGTTTTTTAAAAACTCTTTTAAAACCTCTGTTTGTAGGAGTTAATAATTTATTTTTTATATTAATAATGCTTGTCTAATTAGGTTTCTTTTTATTAAAAAATTCATAATAAATAGATAATTTGTGTTAGAATTTTATCAAACTTTGTTGATAGAGTTTTATTGAAAATAAAATAGGTAATTTGTAATAGAGTTTTATAGAAATTATTTTACTGTCTTTAAATATATACTTGTCTAATGAGATTTAATTTTATTAAGAAACTCATAGTAGAGTTATATAAAAATTAATTTATTTTATATATCAATTAATAAATATTTTTTGTATTAATAATTCTTGCCTAATTAGATTTATTTTATTAAAAAATTGATAATAATAAATAGATAAATAGGTTAATTAAAATATTATTATATAGATTTTAGTGTTTTATGATATCATTTAATAAATATTTTTTTACATAAATAAATAAATACTGAAACTCTTTACATATCTAATAATAGTATAGATAAAACTCATTTTATATCAATTAATAAATATTTTTTTATATAAATAAATAAATATTGAAATACTAAAACTCTTTGAGAGAGGAATTCAACTCTTTTTATATCAATTAATAAATATTTTTTTATATAAATAAATAAATATTGAAATACTAAAACTTTTTGACAAAGTTTCTGTATTTTACTCTGGAATTCAACTCTTTTTATATCAATTAATAAATATTTTTCTTATATAAATAAATAAACACTGAAACTGTTTGGCTGAGCTTTTGTATTTTACTTTGGAATTCTAGATTCCTAGAATTCTCAATTTCTGTATCCCTTCTTCCTTCCTCCATATCTCTATTTATAGGTTTCTTGGATGAATATGATGATTACATATGTCCTTTTCTGATAATGACATAATCATAACTAGGCTGAGCCGGTTATATTGTGATAATTATGCATAAAAAATAACTAAAAATAAGAGTTTTATATATAATATGAGTGATTTTATTAGGTAATTTTTAGATTTTTATAAAAACTATAATTATCTATAAAAAAATAACAAAAAATAAGAGTTTTTATATAAAACGTGATTGGTTTTATTAGGTAAATTAGATTTTCTTTTATTAAAAAATTTGTAATAAATAAATAAATAGGTAATTTGTGTTAGAGTTTAATATAAACTCTTTTAAAAACTCTTTTTATATTAATTAAGAAATATTTTTTATTTTAATAATTCTTGTCTAATTAGATTTACTTTTATTAAAAAACTCAAAATAAATAGAGAAATAGGTAATTTGTGTTTTAAAAACTCTTAAAAAACCTCTTTTTGTATCAGTTAATAAATAATTTTTTATATTAATAATACTTGTCTAATTAGGTTTCCTTTTATTAAAAAACTCATAATAAATTGATAAATTAATAATTTGTGTTAGAGTTTTATAGAAACTCTTTAAATATATCTTTATTGATAGAGTTTTATTGGTAATAAAATAGGTAATTTGTAATAGAGTTTTCTTGAAATTATTTTATTTTCTTTAAATATATACTTGTCTAATTAAATTTAATTTTATTAAGATATTCATAATAAAAGCTAATTTGTGGTAGAGTTTTATAAAAATTATTTTATTTTATATATCAATTAATAATTATTTTTTATATTAATAAATCTTGTCTAATTAGATTTTATTTAATTAAAAATGGATAATAATAAATAGATAAATAGGTTAATTTAAATTTTATTATATTGATTTTACTGTTTTATAGAGTTTTTT